TATTTTTTTTGTACTTTATACACTTTCCACAGTGACTATATTGACTAAAATTATTCTTAGGGAGGTAAACAATACTGAGGGCATCAACATATGCTATATGCACTTACCTATGTTCAACTTCTAGATGTCACACATATCCTGAAGGATTTCAAAAACTTGACCCCATAAAAGGACACAGCTCGTAAAAGTTAACTTAGCTTGTGTTTTAGTACTGTGATGGCAGGAAGAACAAAATTCCAGGAGTGGGGAGGGCGGGGATTAAGTGTCAGGTCTCAGGCTAGCAAAAAATCTTGGAGATCCTTAAATTCTCTGGGCCTGGCTCATACATATGCAAAATAAGGTGTGCTGAACAAGACCACTGAATTGTCATCCTAGTCAAAACCAGACTGAGAAATAGAACATAAATTAAGTTTTTAGCCTAAATCTTACAGCATAGTGACTGATATAGAGGAGGTGCCCGATGTACATTTAATGAAAGAATTAATGGAAATTTAAAAAAAGTAAAGTATGTATTTAAAACAGAGCTTCCCACACATAAGCCCTGGTGTGCTGCTGGGCCTAGAAGTGGTTGTGCCTGTGTGGAGATAAAGGTTCCCCCTCAGGACAGGTTCTCATGACATAAAACAGTTTAGAAAGCACAATTTTTATACTGCTGCTACAGCAAAAAATTCAATAAGTTCATTAGGATTAGATTTCCGACTAAATTTATGAAAAGTTCTCACCACCCTTTAGGTAGGAAAGACTGAATGCTTGGCTTATCATCTGGTATTCAGGCCATCTTAAGACAGAAAACCTAAGTAGCAGTTCACTTAAGCAAAGAGGCCTTCTTTATGCAGTGTACGAATAGAAGACAGGTACTTTTTTAAGAGTAACTCCTGAAAAACAGAATACATTCAACATATAGTTCTGTACATACAGATAACACACTGAAGCAATCATCTCAAGACATGAAATTTCTACTAAAGAACATTTAATACAGTGTCAACTGCAATTTCTGGTTCAGCATTTACAGTAATGTCTGCTTAATCTTTCTGATAGTAACTCAGGGTGTTTTTTTGTGTGTGTGTGTTAAATTCTGCATTATTTCTTGTAATTACTACTACCTACCCCATAGCAAAACATTTTTAAAGAAACAGATTATCTATAACATCATGTAAAAGTATGGGGATTTTCATTCAACAAGGTGCTCGATGGTACTTCCTGGCAGGCTGGTTTTTTAATCTTCAAGGTCCAAGGAATAAAGCACTGCATCTTTTGGATACCTAACATAGATTTACAGGTCATTACCTCCCTCCCCTATTCTCATGGCCACAACTGTACCTTTGCCACAACTGCAGTTAAAAACCTGCAATCCAGATAAAAAAGCTACCTTGCCGCTACCTGTGCTTCCATCCAAAGGGTGAGTCACCCTGAGAGTGGCTGCTGGTCTCACCAGGTCTGCAGGAAAATCCACAGATGGGCTGGTTGCTTCTGAAGCATGCGTTCAACAGGATGAGGAGGATTGTCAAAAGGACTACACCATGAAAATCAGCATTAGAGATAGCATGCAGCTATCAACAACCTGTAGGTCAAAGGGCCTACAGGATAAATAAGTCAACAAGGCTCATCACTGAAATGGTTATTAGTTTCCAAACACCAAAAAAAAAAAAAAAAAAGGCAAAAACCTATCCAAACTAAAAGATCATCTGGCAAAGATCTGAGAAATATGTGAATTTTTACATTTTCCCCTCACCTTCAATTAAGATGATGCTTGAGTTACATGGGTAAGAAGAGTGTAAAATATATATCCAAGAAAGAAATGAATCAGGTACTATAACACTAGAAAACAGTATAAATACTAAAAAAAAAATCACTTTTATCATCTTAAATAGTCGAGTTTGATAGGTATAGTGGGAGAAAAAGATTAGTATTCTATTGCTGGAGAGATTGTTTCTGTTTGATCTTTTCATTATGTACTGATTACCTGACACATCCCAAATAAATACTTCTTTTAAGAAAGCAATGTCCCTAGCAAGTTCTATGGAACTTCCCAAACAACATATAATCTATCATGGCAAATAATTTTTAGTGTTGCAGTATAAATGGGCAAGAAAGCAAAAAGTTTTGCTGTTTAGCCATCTTTTCGCCTTAACTAGTCCTGGACACAAAAATGTTCAAGGAACTCCTAAGACTATATTGAATATGACTTACTAATTCTTCAGAAATAATAGAGGTGAATAGAGGCTTGCCTATGTCTTAGATCACAGGGATATCTTCTTTAGCTGCCTCCCCCAATATTTTTCAAAATCCCACCTACCCTTACTGATCCAGCTCAACTGCTTCCACTTCGTGTGGCTCAGCATTCCCACCCCACAAACACCCTCTCCCCGACTACATGCACCTAAGGAGAAACTCCCTTCCTCCTTCTAATGCACTTTGTACATACTTTCTTTTTACTATATAGTTACTTGCAGATGTAATCTTCTAGAGCATGACAGGCTCTAGGAGAGCAGAAAGGCATGTCTTCCACACATTTACCTCTGCAGAAATAGACTATTTTCTTGTATTTATGATTACAAGGTATTTATTTGAAAAACAACACCTATGAGTATTTTTGAGGCTTAATATCAAGGTAGTCTTCACCTACATCTTTAGTTATGTAAAGTAAGAACAATGTTAATACTAAGTTTAAGATCCTAATATAGTGGTGTGTCTTAAGCTAGGGTAAAACCCATCAAACATACTTTTAATATCCAGGGTACTTTACTGTATTAGTATATTCCAAATTGTCACTCCATAGATTATGTTTAGAGAGAGCAAGACTATCCAGCCAAATACCTCAGTCCATCCAATAATTCAGATATACAACGCCTTATTGTGTATTGGTAGCTTGGATTTTTTTAAAGAAAGGATCTGGGCAACTTATGACAGCATTAAAAGATTTGCGAAACTAAGTGATACCACTGTCAGACTGAAAATTAAACAGTCAGCCAACAACTAATCCAAGAAAGGAAAAGATGAATCTAAGAGTAGAATAGGTTTACTTTTGTGGGTTGTAACTAGATTTATAAAAACTCGAGCAAACTAGCCTGACAGCTGCTCTGGGCTGTCATAGCACTTAGAACGCTGCAGTCATAGCCTTCTGGCTTCTCTGTTTTCCCTTATAGGTGGTATCCAAGAAGGTTAAGAGCAGTATTTTGCTCATTTTTAGAGACCCAGGGCACAGTATACCAGAGTTAACTTATGTGTTGACCAACCAAAAAAATCTGTTTCTTTCTATGAGCCAGAGTTCTAGAAAGGTTAATTTCAGTAAGGTCCATCCTATATCAACAGGATGACTGTATTAATGATGTAAATATTCTATCTTTCCAAGCTGATGGGACACAGGCCTCCTTTTGGAAATTTTCAGAGTAAGAGTGTGAATACTACTAGAAGTAGAGAAATATAGGCTATTCACTGCAATGATGGACTGTAAACGTTCTGCATCCAATAATAAACTGTCATGATTTTATCAGGATTTGTCTGGTCCCACAGTGTGAGGTTCCAATATAACAGAGGCATAAAGAAGTTAAATGACTTTCCCTCTTTTTCTTCTTCTACCCAATGAAAGGTATATGGCATGTTGCTCTCTAAGTAGCTTAATAGGCCTAGATTCTAAAATTTCAACAAACTTATTAAAAAACAATTTCTTTGTCCTAGGTAACCCTGTAAGCAAGAAGTTGTCAGTTTCTACTACAATCTATTTTTAATCCTGTTACAAAAGAAAGAAATCTTGTAATCTGTTTATCTTTAAAAGCAAGAAGGTTAAATTACTAACATTTTTTCTCAGATTAAAATAATGTAAAATGATGTTAACATTTAGAATTTCACGTTGGCCACTCTAACACTGAATTTCAGTATTATTCAGATAATTTGTAAGCACAGGTAAGAAAGGGAGAAAAACAAAATTTCCCCTCAAATATACCAGTAGTCACTATGCCAACTTCCTTTGCTGAGAATTTTTCCACTACCTACTCGATTATAAAAGAACTGCTGACATTCAAACCAATCAAAATACTGATAAAGCATGCAAGAAGGAGAGAGATGAGGGGAGGATGCTCCAACATCACAAAATTGGAGTATTAAATTCACATAATAAAAAGAGGGAGTACGGAGATTTCAGATTAATTGTATGTTGAAAGAAAAGGAAGTGTCTTGTCACTCAACTCCGCTCTTGACTAGTAGGTTGTGAACTCAGGACAATTATTTTTAGAATGGCTTCTACCAAAAAAGCCGACAGATACAATAAAGTCATTTCATACACTGTTTAAAAAAAAAAAAAAAGTACTTCATTATTATACTCATTTGTCTGAGGTTCTATAGAAGTAGAATCCTTAAATAAAAGAACAGCAGGAAATCTCTTTTTCTTCACAGATCAGCTACGGGTGTATACAAGAACTGAACCTGTATGTGAAACACGGGGTTGGCAGAGTTAGTGGTTTGTAACCTGTGCGACACACACCAACGACAGAAACTGAGTTTCTGATTTTAGAAAAGAATCTCTTAAGCCAGCATTTGTGCAAAAAAATAATTTTGACACACCAACAGTTAATCCCATGAGTGAATTAAATATTGCCAGTGGAAGTCGAGTAAGTTACCTTCCATTTGGTTTTCCTTTAACTCACATAAACATGTAATGGTAATTCCTAGTTGCGCAAAAAGCTGAAGGTTGAATCAGAGCCATAAGATGGCGTCTACATCCGATTTCCCAAACTTTACAATTAGCAGATGAAACTGTATCTTCCTGTGAGAATTACTGATTTAGTAATATTTAAAAACTAATCAGAAGGTACCATTCAGTCCAAAAATTTTTTGCATGTTCCACACTCCAATTACCTCGCCTTTTGGAATTCTAAGAGATAACACTGCTTTCAACTAAAATTCTGAGGATACTTCTTTTAACTCAAGAGATCAAGTCTGTTTATTAGGCTGAGCACCGGTGCCCCCAAATTGTGTATAAAGACCTACTCACCACACTGTTCTTTCCCTTCAACTTTGTTTATTGATGTACTGAACATGAAAAAGTACAAAGAATCCAAACACAAAAGAAAACATGTACAGCCTCTTAAATACTCAACAGAATATATTTTCTATTCCAACAGATGTGAATTAAGTCATACTGTACAACTTCAAATAAATACCAGCCTTACATTTTATTAAGTGCTCTGATAAACACTGTAAAGTGAAGCACAATTTGCATGCCCTCTCATCAATGCCTTGGTTTGCTACAGTAGTATAGGAAAGAAGCATGTAGCTGCTGTTTTCCCTTGAGGGAAACCTTATTATTTTTTTTTAAGTATATACATGTATTTTATTTTTTAGTGTTTTTTTTTTAAACGCAGAAGGTTAACTCTGACAATCTAAATGCACCTAAGGATATGAGAAAGTGCTAAGCCAATTGATTTCTGAATAGCATTGAGTGGGTCAGCATGAAAACTCGCTTATTCACTTTAGCACGCGCCTCACAGTATATGTACTGTACTATACTGAAAAATTTTATAACTACAATTTTAAATAATAAAAAATAAAACTCAAAGCAACCGCAAAGATAATGTACAACTATGTTATGCATAGCACATTGCCTGTTCTAAGGGGAAGCATGTGAGCATCTCAGTTTATACAAAAAGCAGGACGTAACTATATAGTTCTCAGTGCATCCTGATGAAGGCGTTTTTGCCTTCAGCTTTTTTGAAAATTTATTATAAGCTAGATGCTAATCAGAAAATATTTTGTATTTTTTAAAATTTCTTTCATACATGGTAAAGACTTATTTTATTATTTCCCCAAATAGTGGTTTAAGCATCATACAAAGTTAAATTTCAATAGCATACAGATATTTATGATTTTTGTATGAAAAATGTAAGGAAATTTGTTCAAAACCTATGGTTATACTCATTTTTTTATACCACAAACATATTTATAAACAAAAATGTAGCATCACCATAAACAGCTGAAGCTAGACTATCTACAGACAAAATTAGCAACAAATCTGATGCACTGTAAATTCAAGTCCTCAGGACAACAAAAGTGATTAAGCAAGACCTCAAGTAACAATGTTAATGCCATTTACAAAGGAAAAAACTGATACAAAAACATTCAAAACCTGAACATCACTTGGCATGTAAGGGAAAAAAAATCAAATTGGCTGAAAGGTTCATAAACACAAGGTCTTATTTACATTACACAAAGCTCAGGTGTTAGCCTTGAACGTAACTTTCAAAATACCTTCAAATATATCCAACTCAGATCACTTTTGCTGATTTGCTGCAGTACAAATCATGTGCAACATCTTTTTTCCTTAAGACAAAACAATTCTTCAAACAATACTGCAAGTACATCACTAAACACCATGAGCTCTATCTGAAGGGATTTCTTTAGGAAGAACAGATTTTTTTCCCCCATCTCTTGGTAATTTAAATTTCTTGCCTGCTCTTATATATTCTTTTGTAAATTTTTTTATTTGTTTCAAAATCACAAATCAATGTGAGCCACCTATCACATAATAACCAGGATGATCAGACGCTCCACTGGTGATTACAAAAATGAAATCAGCAGTGTTTCACCCATTGATTCTACTCCTTTCATACAAAGATCTCAAAAGTATTTTCTACACCATAAATCCTTCTAAATTTTCCAACCACTGCAAATTTCCTGGTAAATTTTAAAAGCTCACTAGGTGTCATATGAAGAGATTTCTCAAAGTATTCAAGTCAAAATATTTGTTCCAGGACCAGTAAAAAGTTTCTCCAAATTTTCTTTTTTATAAAAATAGATGCTTTTTTTAAACCCACATCAAAGAGGCTCTTATCTCTTTGGCAAGGTACTGCTTTACGAAAAGTTCTCCAGTATTCTTACAATAAGCGTTTATAATGTAGCCCCCCCTTCCCCAACCCAAATCATAATTACAAAATAAATACTGTTTTAAACTTCATAAATAAAAATGTAAACTTCAAAATACTTTTCTTAAACAGACATAACAGCAATGCTTTAAATGTAAACCAAACACAAAGCTAATCAGAAAAAGGAAAAAAAAGGGGGGGAAAAAAGACACAACCAACTGAAGAATTACAACACAAAGCCTCAATATTTACTCACAGGTTCAAGGCAGTTATGTAAAAAGAAAAGAAATGTCTTCCCTTAGCTGAAACACTTTAAAAGGTCCACCTTCTTCAAAGAAGGCAATAGAATGCAATGTGACAGGTAAAAACCCTGTACCTCTTGTCCATATTCAAACATAAAAGATATTTAAGAAGTTTTAATTCAAATACTAGCAATAAAAAATCTCACATATTTCTTAGGATGCTAAGTAGTCGTTTTATCCCCATCTCAACACTGACTTACAAAGACATCTACTAATGTATAAAGTTTCTCTTAACTTGCCTTTGTTGTATAGTTTTCATATATAAATGGACTGAGGACAAGAGCTCATTAGGCTTTGTGCGTTTTATTTGTCTTAAAGGAGACCTGCAGTACTCTGTCTCCCAGACGGTATCCATTGAGGCTAGCTATCGCCATGGCAGCCTCATCATAGTTTGTCATAGTCACAAATCCAAAACCTTTGCATTTATTGGTGTTAAAGTCACGGATGACCTTCACGTTGGTGACAGCTCCAAAAGGCCCAAACATTTGCCACAGGATACTCTCATCTGCGTCAGGAGCCAGGTTGTACACAAATATACACCACCCTGTTCCAGGATGCCCAGGGATGTTAATTCCAGCCAAACTGGTCATTCCATCAATGGTCATTGGAGAAAACCTACTAAACAGAATAGGAAATACACACAAACACACAAAAAAAACAGAAACAGAGGTTGGTTATAGCAATGGACTTATACCTTTTCCATCCCCAAGAATTTTAGTAATCCTCCTCCCCCAACAAATAGATAAACTATTTGATGTTTTGACCAAGGACTGTGTGTGGCTTTGCATTGACATGCTAGACTACTGAGATATTAATAAGTTATGAAATGACCATTATTTACTGTACTAAATATCATCCACTATAGCAAAGAAATATATTTGGAACTGGCTTCACGAATTAAGCAGGATTGGCAGGGGGAGGGATCAACACACATGTAAACATGCTATAACGTCGCAACGCAATATGAAACAAATGATGGGTTTTTAAAAGACCAGGTGGCATCCAGTGGTATATAAATTTCTTGAGTCAATTGTGCTTCAAAGAGCAGTTTTTCATTAGGTTGCACATGCAAAAAAAAACCCAACAAAAACTTATGAGGGGTGTGAATAGCACTCCCAAAATCAAAGAAACCAATCAATTGTGGAAAGGGATTATGAGTATCATGAACCTCTATCATTACCTCTTTACTCCATAAGCCATATTGAGCAGATTGTCCAACCTGCAAAACACACATTTAGCAAACTTCAGTTTTAAATTTTTCCCCTTGATGTTCAAGAAAGCTGGACTCATTACTGTCATCTTCTGAGGGGATATCTGTACACTGATTATAAGTGAAGTCTCAGAACACTGGGTATTTTTACATTCTTGAGCTAATTAATGGGCACCGACTGCCACAGGACAGTTCTTCCAATGAATGGTTTCTTTCTACAAGGGTCAGTACATGGAACACAGCGATGGTCATCTGAGGATACCTTTCAGAGAGGATAAGTGCCAAAGTTCTGGGATAGTTAACTTTAGTGTTCTCATCAGGTAGTTTCAAAGTGATCAATGTATAGCTAGACGCTCTTTAGACTATTTTTGATTTTCACAACTCTGTTGGTCCCTGCAAATACCTAAGGCACACGGAGTTTAAGTGGCTTGCTCAGGGCTAGTAAATTATGACACTGATATTCAAACTTTGAAGGTTACAGAATTCTATAAATTTCCCTTTAATTTGTCAACTTTGAAGGACTTTCATCTCTTAGAATCAAAGAGCTATAATTACAGATAGAAAAAAATCTTATAGACAACCCAAGCTAACCCTCCTATCTCAAATGTGCTCAGCTGAGGTCAAGAAGGAAGAAAGAAAATCCCATCACTCTAGTGTGCAACAAAGCCAGGAGGAGTTCAGATCCTGATCTGGATGCTGTATTCAAATTATGCTGTAGGAAGTGTCATCCTACTCAGTTTTCAAAGGCCAAGTAGGAAACAAAACAAGCCAACCTGAGCTTTTCTTAAAATGTTTAAAGAAAGTAAACAGGGGTGGGTGGGGGGGTGTTGGTAATCTTTAAAACCTACTGTTTTTCTATATCAAAAATTAGTTTTACAGTATTTGATTCTTCTTGCTTCATCCTTTCAAAAACCACTGTAAAGTCCCAAATTTCCACAGTGCTTACCAATTAATTATGTGTTTTGAGGAGGTAGGCATAACTTAATACATAGCCCACAACCACCCTCAACTGCTACAATGCCCAACCCTTTCCAAAGACATCTCAGGGTTGTACCTCCAAGATTGGGGGCAAGGAGGGGGACATTTTTTCTTTAACACCTGTGCAAGGTAAGTTTGAAAAAAGTCTCAACCTTACTGCCTAACCCGTGGGATCAAGTCAGGCTAAAGTATACAGGCAAAACAACTCCTTTTAGTTTTATAAAAGCCAAAAACATATCTCATCTGGTCTTTCAGAATGGGGAAAAAAATGTAGTCTCCCTGTATCCCTGCCCTCAATCTCCACTAAAAATCTTATTTTGTAAAGATAAAAAGAACTGAGCTTATGCAAAGGGTAAGGAAACGGAACAGAACACAATGACACTAGCCAGGTTCACTGATGGTTTATAGTATGTGATGACCAAATAAAGACAATGAGGTTACCGAAAGTATTGTCGACTACTTAGTCTAAAATGAAAACTACTGACAGGATTGGCTGGATGACCTAGTCTGCACATAGTAAAGAGAGCGCATATGTGGGGTTTTACTTTTTGCAGAAATGAGTATAGTAAAGATGCCATGCCTTTAGAGTCAAGAACAAGGGTCACAATTACCGGCAATTAAGACAAACACATATTAGTATTACCCATCATAAAGAAACAATACAATTTAATCAAATTGCTAGAATGACCAATACAAAATGCATCTGGCATAGGATACCTGTAGAAAAGAACAGCAGCACATTGAGGTCTCCATCCAAAGTACCAGAAGGCTCAGAACACAGAGGCACCTTATCAATTCACTCAAAAGTTATGCCATCTATGCCCATTAATTGCATCCAGGTAGGGACTGGTCACGCTTTGCCACCACCCACTCAGGACACCAAGCCAACACCCAGAGAAAGAATACCCTAATTGAGTTTTCAGAATTTTCAAACAGGGTAGAAATCAAACCTGCCCCTAAAGCGAATTACAGGCACGCATTAACAATGAAGGTATGTTCTGAAAATGTGTTACTAGGTGATCTCGTTGTTGCACGAACATCATAGAATGCATTTATGCAAACCTAGATGGTATAGCATACTACACGCTTAGCTATATGGTACAGTCGATGGCTCCCAGGCTGTAAACCTGTATAACATGTTACTGTACTGAATTCTGTAGGGAATTCTAACACAATACTAAGTATTATGTATTTAATCATATCTAAACACAGAAAAAGTAATTCATTGCACAAAAATATTAGGGTAACTATAACATCACTAGGCAATAGGAATAATTTTGCAGTCCACTATATTCTTATGGGGCCACGGTCATATATGTGATTGATTAAAATGCTGCTATATGACACATGACTGTACATGCATTAAGGGAGAAACATTTCGTTTCCATCCTCCATCTCCCCAACTTCCACCTCTGGTATCTCCAGATAGGAAGTCTGGAATTTTTATAACAGGATCTCTGATGACCCTCCAAATTATGATAGGGCATCATATTTACCTGTGAAGTCTTATATGATACGATGATCTACACTGGTTTCTTCACTTCTCTCTCATTAGGAAAAAAAAAGGTGCCTTGGAATTTAAGACAAGTTATCAAAACTAATCTTTCTTCTCCTTCATCACCGAGTGTAGGGAGAAGCATGTAACCTAGAAAACTGGGCCCAGGCACTGCTGAAACCACTGCCTGTATGCACAGCTGGGCCCAGAAGTGTTTCTGTGCTTTCTCAGTACCACACATTCATGTTTCCCATGGGAGCTCAGAAAAGGCAGCAGGTGCGCCACATGGGCACCATACACTCCAAATCTAGTAGCAGTTAGCAAACTGTAACATAAGCAGTTGTAGGAGAAAATGGTGCAGCACCTCAGACACAAGGACTACTACAAGCCGCTATAAATATGTCTTTGCCAGGTCTGTCCATAGCTCAAGGACATATCTTATTGTCATTTAGAAATGGAAGTCAATTTTAAAATGGAGAGCATGCTAGCTGCCTCCAGAATAACTCAGGGAGGGGAGGTGTTTGATAATGTACGAGATTATCAAACACACACACACACACACACACACACACACATATATATAAAATATAAATATGTATTTAACATAAAGTTTTTTTTTTAACTTATATGTAATAGATGCACTAAACCCAGTACCCTTTCAGTCCTGTGTATCACCTGCCTCTCTGCAGAAAAACTGAGCAGGTGGCCAGTGGCACTCTCCCCTGCTCTTTAGACTGAACACAATTCATTTTACAAACAACACAGCAAGCTGATATGGAGGATTAGGCTGGATAACCTGCTTTAATTAAAATAACCTTCATTTAAAGAAAATGTAACTTTAAAAAAATTACTTGTTACAAATAAAAATAAGAGTAAAAACTGGTACCAGTAAAGGAAATATAATAAGGAAAGGGAGAGCCGATTATTACTCCTAGTCTTAGTACAAGCTACATTATGCGGTTACACACAAGATAATCCAACATACATCACATGAAGTCAGATGGGAAATCTGAAATTATTTTTTGGGTCTTGCTTTAAAAGATATTGTATTTATTAAGATATTAGGTACATGGAAAATGAAGCCAACCAGTATAGTAATTAGCAAGACATTTAATATATTGATTGTCTCATCTTTATCCTTTTTTATGTTTGATTAGAGTTTCTAATTTAATGAATAGCACAAGCCCATGTACATATGTAGTTTATTAAAAAAAAGCACATAGGAGAGATATGTGTACAAACATTTTTCTATCAACAGGAACACAGCTCCAATTATAACTGGTCAACATTTGAATACAACTATGTATCACATAGATCATTCCTATTTCAAAGCTAGGTATTTATAAGTAGAAAATAAAAATAAAGTACCTAATTTCTAAAAATTTAGCTGATAAGACTATGAGAGGGTCCCCATGTAAGTAAAGGGGAAATGTGAAACCAATTAATGAGAAATAAAAATATGAAGTTACTGATGAGTAAGAAAATATACTCTGAATCTCACAAATAATGGTTATCAAAATCTCTCCAAAGCACCAACCAAGAACTGCTTGGAAATTATCCACAACAAGACCATCATCTTACTGCCTTATTCAATTAGATGGTAGCATCTGTCCTCTTAGAAAAGGGAAAATTATTCAAGGGGATTGATACCAGTTTCTTCCAAAAGGAAATTATGACTAGCACATGCCTTAAAGGCAACGCAAGGGCTGATTTCAAAGGCTTTTTAAAAAATGCATAAAGGCTCACAGAAGCAGGCACACAGGCCATTAGACTAGATCATATTCAATAAAACTAAAGCTGCTCCACAAGAAAAGAACATGAAAAATTTTGGCTTAAAGTTTAATTCTGATATAATGTCCCAAGAATATACTTAAGGGGCTTGAATTATAGCATCCATCCAAATAAATAAGGCTCGTCCTATTTTGAAAACTGTAGTCAATTAAATAAGCATATTAGACCAGCGGTGCTCATATTAAAATGATTTTCTAATTATTCACATGGGTTGACTAAGCCACAAACCTCACAAACTCACTTTTAAACTTAACCCTTATTACACAGATTTTTAAGTTTTTTGACCTTAAAAGATATGGCTCATACTTCATGATTATTAAAAGTATTCTTGTCTATAATACATAAAATTTGTATTCTCCAATCTCTCTCAACTCCCAAGGTACCATTACAACATAAAAATATAGTGAGAAATTTTCTACATGTCTGCTGAAAGGTGGCAAACTCAAGGCAAGAGCATTAAAAGACAAATATCAGGGACAAAATATCTATGTGGTGATTTACAACTTAGATTATAGAAAAGAGCAAAATACCAACAAAACAAACAACCCCTTAATTCAAGGGTCTTTATGAGGTGAAAGAAGAAGAGAGAGTGGGGCAGAAATCAAGATAATGACAGCCAAGTTAAATATACTGTATTAAGGAAAAGCACCAAACATCAGGTTAAACCTGAATTCTAGGAACAATTTCTTCCAACACACCCAATCTAGATCAAACACTGTATCTGAGCACACTAACTCACTCATATTTTATTAACTGAACAGGGATCATGGGAGGAATGAGAAATGGAGTGAACGGGACAACAGTTAAAAATCTGAAGAGAGAATAACAATTTTCTCCCATTTTCTGAAACCAAGTTTCCCTTACAACTGATAGTCTCTTATTCTTCCAAAATTTCTTTCTATAGGAGTCAAGGAAAAAGAATTTTCAAGTTAATGATAACATATGGTACTAAAAGATGAAAACACAGAATGGGCCAGAAAAAGATAATTAAATTTGACCATCAGAACATCCTGTAAAGCTTTACCCAACCAAAAATAAAAAGCACATAGCCTGCAGGGATGGAGGCTAGGTAAACCTAAGGGCTGACACCCATCAACGACCTAGCACCTGAGTGGCCTACAAACCTTGCTATTTCAATAATGAGGCATTTTTCTAAGTCCTGTTTTCTCAGTCCTCTTGCTCAATCTTCCTAAGAATTCAATCTTGATTCCAAGAATGCTGTTTTACTCAGTAACTGTCAAACAAAACCACTGCTTCAATCGGAAACAAAAGTAACAACTATTAGAGCTTTCTACTAACAGTAAACATTTTATACCTTCACAATGTTAAAAATTAACCAATACATTTTGAAGAACTTTCCTCTATCTAAACTCAAAATCATTTTCAAGGCCCTAAAGAGTTCTGAAATTAACTGGACAAGCTGCCTAGGAAATACGTGTAAAACTTCTTCAGGCTTGTTTCCTCTAAGTTTGCAATTAAAAAAGTATATTTATACATATATTATTCACTTTAGATGTCATAGAGGAAACCTATGGGCAGAGCTGAAAAAGGGCTTTCTAAGACCTCCTTCTCCGCAAAGGCAAGCATCAAGCAGCCCCACCCTTCTTAATCTAGTCTGATTGCCACTACCATAGGAAGTCAAAAGTGACAAATGTTTTTTGTTTTTTGGTTTTTTAAACCAAGGTCTTTTCCTCACAGCAGAGCATGAAGTACAAAGCTCAATCCACTGGCAACTTAATAATCCAGAGTTCAGATGTAGCCTTTTGACAGTACCACCTCTTCTCCTACAGCAAAGCCAACTTAAGTTGAAATTTAATTAACATTTACAGCAAATTTCCATCTCATACCTCAAGCAACATAATTTAGTATTTTTAAAAAGGAGATATTTTGACTGATTTTATCTCCACTCACTTCAGCACTGCAAATATTCCAATGGAAAAAAAAATAAATGCATAGATTTAAGCTAGAAAACATAACTCCCTAATCTTACTGCCTTATAGTTTTAATTATGCTTTTGGTAATTAACTATTCTGTACCAGGAATTAAATAAAATTGATATGTACTTGGAAATATTAATTTTAAAAAAATCAGTGTGGGGTTAGACAGCACTCTGGGTGTAATATACCATACGGCCAAAAAAGGATATTTTTAAAGCGTCCTGGAAAATAAAAACTGAATGACTTGTTTATGAAACCAAAAACTCTGTGCTCTGCTTAACTTCTTAAAGACATTGTTCTTCTCACATGCACATTAGAGATTTTTTGAATGACTCCTGGGTTTGTGATCTCAGGATCAGAATAAAACTGAAAAAAATAGAATATTTATGTCTATCAATGAGATAGTGTGTCTTCTTTGGGCTGAAGCCATGGTCATTCTATGGACTATACAGAGGTCAGTAAATTAAAACCCACAGGCCAAATGGAGACTGCCTGTCACCTGTAGCTGTATGGGCTATAAACCTAAGAATTGCATTTACATTTTAACAGGCTGTTGAAACAACAAAACAAGACAGATAGAGCAGAGACCATAACCCATATAGCTAAAATATTTACTGTCTTGTACTTAACAGAGAAAATGTGCCAACCTGTTTGTAAACAATTTTCAAAAGGAAGAGAGGAACTCATTCATAGAAACTTAATGTAGTCACATAGGTTATATATCCTTAACGGTGCACATACTATAAAGTGAAGTAAGAGAAATGGCTTGAACCTAAAAACTGACACGAGAATAAGATCTTTTCAGAAAAAAAAAAAGAGGAAGCCCTGGAAACAATTAAGATAATCCCAGCAATCTACAGATTGGAATTTCTCAGCTACAGCATTATTAATGCCAGGTAACTTCTTATTGTTGGGACTATGCTGTGTATCATAGGAGCTTAACAGCATCCCTGACCTCTGCCATTACATGCTAGCAGCACCCCCACAAGTTAAGCCAACAAGAATATCTCCAGAAATTGCCAAACGTTCCCTGGGAGACAAAATCACCCTTGCTTATGAATCACAATCACCTGTAGGTTATTGTCCTCTGGTGCCCACCTTCAATACTAGTAAAAGATACTATTCCTCAAAAGTAGATTCTCTCTGTGCCCATGAGAAAATAAAAATTTATAATAAAAGCTACAATAACACTGATAAAAGAAAACCAGAGATCCTGTCAAAAATAAAAAGTACTGGAAAATAAACCTGAGTATTCTCTTTCAGTTTAATAGTTAGGCACAAGAATCAGACCAGACTTACCTAAAACGTTGTGCCTGCTGAGCTAGCGGTCCTGGATACCTTCTGTTTGGAGACTGGTACAGCTGGGAAAGGATGGCCTGATTGGTTTTTTGGCTTGGATTATTAGCAAACTTTACAGTGATTGGCTCTGTGGCACCGGGAGGTTTCTGGCCATTTAGGCCTTTGATAGCTTCTTCTGCCTCAATTCGCTTGTCAAATCGAATAAACCCTACACCCCTTGATATGCCTATGGTAGATTTGAGTAAAGATTTAGGAAAAAGGAAGTAGGAAGAGAGGGGAAGGAGAGAAAAAAGGACACATTAATTTTTCCCTCTCAAGAACATGTTTTTACCTACATATAACTTTTGCCACAAAATCATACCGGGAGGAATACTTCCCCCTTAATGTATTAGACATTCAGTTTAGAATCACAATTTTGCATTTTAAAAAAATTCATGTCACTTATGTAATCTGAGTGCCCATTATCACATGCATTCCAATAAGCTAAGATAAGAAAGCACCAGCACATCCATGTTTTCTCTCTCTCCTGCCTCCCTCCTGTACACTCTTTTAATGTCAACAGTATACCAGAGTTTCATTTTTCAAATTGTGCTCTTGGAAAAGGAGCTCAGAAATGAGGGACACAGTAGTTCCTGTCCTTGAAACAAGAAGAACAGAAGAATTTGCTAAAAATGCTACAAAGCTATACTAAAAATACATACACAGTGGTAGAAAGATATTTCAGTTGAAATTTTAAATAATATATTCAACTTAATAATACTGTATAGGATATAGGTCCTTTAGGAAGAAATGCATGAAGAGGCTCTTCCAGTTCTCTGAAGCTCTCTTAATGTTGTCTATATTTTATTACAGAAATAATATATGGAGAAAAAGAAAATATCTAGATTTTAAAAATAAATTTCTAGAAGCATCAAAGCTTTCTGACCTCAGTAGTATCACTTCTGACTACAGAAGATCACTCCCTGCCCCACATTCTCCCCAGTGTGAAAGACACAAATGGGAAAGAAGACGGATAGCCAAGAACCTTCCCAGATTATGAAAAACTGTAGAGGCAATCCAGCTCATTCCATTTAATTAGCATGAACAGGCTAGTGGGGTGGCCACAGCTGGTCATCATGAGGTAAGTGGTGGCCGGGAATTTTTTTTTTGGCAAGTAAATGAGTACTAGCAAAACCAGATTAGACTAGTAGCTAGAAAGTATAGCTGATTCAGATTATGTAAGTGAAGAAAAAAACAACAGAGGTTACTAAGAAAGGTATGCAGAGAAAAAGCACTGGACCATCATGCTTGGAGGAACTTTAAAAAAAAAGGAAGCTCTACTTGCTTTAAAATTATACTGTGTAAGGTCAATGACTTATAATTTTCTAATCTAGATAAAGCATTTTTTCCATATATGCTTATCTAAGACAACCCCTATTATACTTTACCTTTTCTATAAAGAATATGCATTGCACATTATTACCACCTGATGGCTGAATAAGAAAATTGCAGGGTTTCATTTTTCATTTCAGGTAAATTGAGTAAGTTCACATTGAAAACCTCAAGCATGAAGAATAAATGGCAAAATGATAGCAAATATATCTTTTCATTTATCTACTATCTCCTATTAAGAATAACCCCTAGAACTTAGGTGTTCCATTAGAAAAGCATTAGATTAGCAATAAAACAGCCTCTACACAGCTTGAGCCACCTAAACCAGGGATCCTCATACTTGAGCATGCATAAGAACAACCTGTGGATCACCCTCACACATTATTTCAGTAGGTCCTGAATGAAGCTCAAGAGTTTGCATTTTCAGCAGGGTTCCAGAAGAATGCTGATGCTGCGGCAGGTGTGGAACATACTTGAGAACTACTGACTAAACCACAAGCTACATCCACCTCCGATGGACTGTCAATTAAGAGATGAAATACACTTTGTATCAGAGGTGAAACCTACTCACTTTACAAGATCTCATTAAGAATAAATGAATTAGAAAGCATGAATGATATAAAATATATTTTTGTTGCTTTAAACAAATTTATCTGTATTGCTAGGCCTGGATTTCTATTTAACCCATTGGTCTATGTGACTAACAACAAAGGGCGACAATGTATAACTATTATGAATTAACTAACACAGTTAAGACTGTATTCTATATACCCTCACTTGTCTAAATATTCTCATGACAGCAAAATCTTTAGGCTATTCTCCCAGGCCTGCATGTAGTGCTAGCTCTCTCTACTCAGAACTCTTAAAGTGGTGCTTCCTATGAAGTCAGTTAACAGCAGAGTCAAGTAATAGGGGCTCTGAGCAGATTCAGATCAACTAAATGGATCTTCACTTGAATGAAAAATTGGGCTCGATTTTCTTCTGAAGTCATTGCTTTAAAGAAATTATGCACTGTAATATACAACATGCCTCCAGGGTATTATCATTTTGCAGGTAGGGGAGAGAAACAAATAGTAAAGATAAAAGCTACCTTAAAAAAAAACTCACAAATCTTCCTGTGGCAGCTTTGGTACATGGAACTATAGCTAGTATTTCCTCCTCACAATGTTTCTCTATTTTTTAACTGTTTCTAAAAGAACAAGTATTGTTTTTATAATAGAAAACTATATCTGTATTTTATTTTTAAAATCTATAATCAAATCTATGTTGCTAGCCTTTTTAACTAAAAGATTTGGCAGAATAGCTCCCTTACATTCAAAAGTTTTAAGGAACATCTTAGACTTCCCATTTGTTTGGCTAACAGTGATATTAGGCATAAAATAAATTTTTAACATTCAAAATTTCATACTCTTACATATGCCCATAAAGCACAGCATGAAACTGAAAAACAGCCTGAACAGCAATTACCAGTGTGGATGTAGTATAATCCTCCCTCGGAGAACTAGCTGCATACTGCTGCATTAAACTTCACTTTTTGACAAAAGTAAGATTGTTTATTAGTACTTCATAAGCAGGATGGGGCTTTTTTCACACAGTGGCTTGGAAATGAAGATTATAGCATCTATAAATTTATGACAAGCCATGAAACAGGCTTCAAACCTGCACCTTCAGGGTGGAAATGACTCAAGCACGCTCACTATACTCCACAATCTATTTTTATCCATGCATATTTATGAACAATTCCAGCAGAAAATTGCATTTTCTGGCTCACATATACCTTTGATGTGTTCTAGGGGCAACACTGCTACATGGAAAGACAGAATATTTCACCATCTGCTAGTCACAGACAGGGAAAGATTGTCCGAAGTGGCTGTCTACTTACCAGTGACCTGGTCGACAAGAATACGAGAAGTAATAATGCGTCCATATTGTGAAAAAAGCTGTTCCAACTCCTTCTGGGTCATAGTTTTCGGAAGTCCGCTGACATATAAATTTGCATCTCTGATAGAAGCCGAACTTGGGCGAGCATAGGAAACCTGGAAAAGGAAAATAAAATTAAATGTGCATGCTCATGCACCTCCCTTTAGAAACTCAGTAAGACTGCCTCAGTAACTTTCCCATAAAGAGCATAAGACACAAAGCTCAAACAAGCCAGGTGCTAACTGCTTTACTCATTTCTGGGAAAATTCTAGACACATGGGAAGTAGTACTCTCATTCATTCTCCCCTGGGTGGAGAGGGAAGAGTATCTGTAATGTTCTGGACTAGACTACTGCAAGGGACAGAAATTTCACAATATACCCCATCCTCCAGATTATTCCTAAAAATGGTCAATGTGTCTGGGATTGATTTGCTGAGGTACAGTGATATGATAATGTCTGCCTGCTCATTTTATCATTAATACCCACCTTTAATCCAGTTTAAAAAATAAAACACCTTTCCCAATTTACACTAAAACAGGCCAGTGATGCATACAGCACAGTACTATCCATGGTAATAAGTTATCCTCTGTGAGGCCAACCCCCTAGAGTAGTGGTCCCCAACCTTTTTGGCACTAGGAAATGATTTTGTGGAAGACAATTTTTCCATGGACCAGGGTGGGTAATGCAGATTCTCATAAAAAGCGCACAATCTAGATCCCTCAAATGTGCAGTTCAAAATAGGGTTCATGCCCCTATGAGAATCAATGCTGCAGCTAATCTGACGGGAGGTGGAGCTCACGCAGGAATGCGTGATCGCCTACTGCTCACCTCTGGCTGTGCGGCCTGCTTCCTAACAGGCCACAGACCAGTACAGGTCCACAGCCGGGGGTTGGGGACACCTGCCCTAGAATAAGGATTTAGGCCTAATCTTTCTAAGTTTAAGATTCCAGTGAAATATGCACAAGTTTAAATAGCAGAATGCATCAAGCAGAAGAAAGGATATCAGAGGTCGAAGACCAACTTAATGAAATAAAATGACAAGACAAGAATAGAGAAAAAAGGATGAAAAGGAATGAGCAAAGTCTCTAAGAAATATGGGCCTATGTGAAAAGACCCAATCTACGTTTGATTGGTGTACCTGAATGTGATGGAGAGAATGAATCCAAGCTGGAAAATACTTTTCAGGATATTATCCAGGAAAATTTTCCCAATCTAGCAAAGCAGGACACTATTCAACCCCAGGTAATACAGAGACCACCACAAAGATATTCCTCAAGAAGAGCAACCCCAAGGCACATAATGTTAGATTCACCAGGATCGAAACGAAGGAGAAAAATACTAAGGACAGCCAGAGAGAAAGGCCAGGTAACCCATAAAGGGAAGCCTATTAGACTTACAGTAGATCTCTCAGAGGAAACCCTACAAGCCAGAAGAGAGTGGAGGCCAATATTCAACATCCTCAAAGAACAGAACCTTCAGCCCAGAATTTCATATCCAGCCAAACTAAGCTTCACAACTGAAGGAAAAATAAAGTCTTTTATGAACAAGCAAGTACTCAGAGATTTTATTACCCAGGCCTGCTTTACAAGAGCTTCTGAAAGAAGCATTACACACAGAAAGAAACAACCAGTATTAGCCTTTCTAAAAATATACCAAAAAGTAAAGAGCACCAACATAAAGAAGAATTTACATCAATGAATGGATAAAACAGCCAGTTAACATCTAATGGCAGTAACCCTAAATTTAAATCAACTAAATCCTCCAATCAAAAGATACAGCCAAAACCTAACGGTATATCCAAAGATACACAAAGACTCAAAACAAAGGGTTGGAGAAAAATTTACCAACCAAATGGAGAGCAAAACTAAATAAACAAACAAAAAGCAGGAGTTGCAATTCTCACATTTGATAAAATAGATTTCAAAGCAACAAAGATACAGTGGTAAAAGGATGAATGCAACAATAAGAGATCTTAATACCCAGATACGTAAGACCCATAACAAGATTTAGACTCAACGAGACAGAAAATTAATAAGGATATCCAGGACTTCAACTCAGATCCGGAACAAGTAAACTCAATAAATATTTATAGAGTTCTCCATTTTAAATACACAAAATATTGATCGGCCATTATTAATACCCATTTTTAGAATGAAGCAATATTCCTGTTCTCTCTCCCTCTTTTTCTTCCTTTCTTCCTCTCCTTCTCTCCTTTTTTTACTTTTCAACATCCTAGTTCCTCACCTCTACTCAATACATTCCTCTGAACACCTGATTCCTTGTGATTCTCCCATCCCACTGAAACCTCCAATCCATTAAAAAAAAAAAAAAAAGATTATAAAGGGTTCAATTCAGCAAGAGGATATAACAATTTTAAACATATATCCACCAACCATAGGAATACCCAGATATATAAAGCAAGTGTTATTAGAGCTAGAGAAAGAAACAGACCCCAATATAATGATAGCTGGAGATGTCAACATCTCAATTTCATATCCTCCAGACAGAAAATAAAGAAATATGAAAAAAATATATATATCAATTTGTTTTAATGACATTCACTTATTTTCCTGTCTAGGCTGAGGTCAGTTGACCATTCAGATATTATTCTATACTGTGGAAAGTAGGAAAGCGTCCTTAAAAAAAATTAAAAAGAAAGATTGCAAATTTACTGGAGACATTTTTGTTTTCCAGCCTCTCCAATCTGTGTAGGTGGTATTGCCACATTTCTTTAAAAAAAAAAAAAAATTATCCTTATCAGTAAGTACGTTCTCCTTCTGATATATGCCATATAATTGTCCATAAAATCCCAGAAATTTAAATGTATGAACAAGCCCTCATTATCCTTTGTCTGTTGTCATCTCATCCACAGGTCTTTTCAACCTTAATTTTCAAAGGGTCTTAAGTCCCTTTAACTGACTTTACCTGCCACTGTATGTACTCTTTGAAAAGTTTTAGGTCTTTGAGATATGGTAAACAAAATCCCACAAGGATGAAAGACAAACGAGTTCAAGGATGAAAGTGTGTATTTGATTATAATCATCATTCCTCATGTAAACTCCATGAAGGAAGAAACCACATCGTTCTTGCTCATGATGGGATCCTCAATGCCTAGTGAATGCCTGGCATGTGATAGATGCTAACGTATTTGGTGAATAAAGTCCATCCAATAATATCCCACTGATCATGCAGATCCACAACAGCTTACTGAACCAGAGCATTTAAGGATCAGTTCAAGTCATCCAGATCTCCTGCCCCAATTGTAACTGATGGCTCTCTGCCTATAACCTATCTTTGCCAATATTTAGTTTCATGAGCTATTCCTGAAACTGCTTTCCCTTTGGTTTAACTGTAATGCTCTGAACCAGCCTACTGCAAGGGTCAGAAATTTCACAATATACCCCATCTTCCAGATTATTCCTTAAAAATATCAATGGATCTAGGGTTAATTTGCTGAGGTATAGTGGGTTACTACCTGTATAGTAGTTACTACCTGCTCATTTTATCATTGGTGCTCACTTTTAATCCAATTAAAAAAAAAACTTTCCAAATTTACACTAAATTTTAAGTAACTTTTAGTATGAAACATCAAACATTTTCTCCATGATTTGAATTGTGCCCACAGCTCTCTGTTATCACTTTTGTTTTGGCATTCCAGAAAAAAACATAAGCCAGATTTTATACTACTCTATAAAGGTCTCATTATCTTTCACACCCCTAACCCAACAGTGTTAACATTTAATACTTCTCCTTTATTCAAGCAGTTTGCTTATTAATAAGTGAAAATATACCTGTTGTTCCAAAGGCTGTATCTGGAAGTTACATTAGCACTGTCTATCCTACAGAAACAAGGAATTTGGAATTGCGGTGGAGAGAACATAAGTAACTATTCATGTACCCCTCTTTTTTCTTCTTTGCCTAAATACTTAAGAACAATGAAGATTAGGGAATTTAAATGTAAATGAAAAACAAGTGGCCAATTTCAAGTGATTAATATAAGTTAGATGGAATCAAGTCTTGGGACTGCTATAAACTGATGAAACAAGGCCAATGAATTGTATATGCATTCAGTAATATGAATCAATAAAAACCTAATTTCTTTTCTGGTTTAAGATTCTCAATCATACAGGAAAGCTGAAACCACACCAGTTGGGACCTCCATCCCTATGTAAGATTCTATGGCTTTATTTCCACAAGAGGGAGCACTCAACAAGTTAGCTGTTACTCTATTCCAGATCATGTGACTGAAGTACTCCCATTATGAAGAGCCATGTCCCACGGGCTCCAGGGCAGGCATCTACACATTCTCCAATGAGGCTAACTTCCAAAGACTGATGAAGCAAGCAGCAGCAGTAGTCAGGCTCTGCATGAAATCAAGTGCCACAGGAGGCAGTGGAAATGTGGCTAGAGGTAATGGCTAATCAGTGTGCCTGGGCTCAAAACTAGGTTTAATTCATTACTGGCTCTGTGAACTTAGAATTAAGTTGTTCAAGCTTATTACCACAATTCTACCTTCTTTGTATGGCCATTAGGAATAATTAAATAACTTCTAATCCACATGAAAAGCTTCAGACTCTAAAACCTATGTGACTACATTATAAATATTGTTTACCTCTACATGCATCTGAAAATTTAGGTAAATACCCAGCCCACTAAAGTAGAGGGAAACCTGGGTCCATTACAATGTTCTAGAATAATTTACACAGGCAGTGACATTCACTGCTTTGTGCAATTCAGATGAGTGTGGGTGGTGTGTCTTAAAAGTCATCCTAAAATACATTTAGGAAAATGGGTTTATATTTAGTGCTTATATAAAGGCTTTGAAAACATACCTAGGTCAGTTACGTGGTTTTTCCCCCAATGTCCACTCTTCAGTTTATATTGCATCTTTAGTTCCCAGCCACATTAAAAACGCTCTAAGACAAACCTTCTCAAAACAGTATCTTTCAGTAGCATTGTCAAAGGACCATTTTCCACTACCATAGGCAGGACAGAAGTGATTAGATTATATATAAACTTACGTTGGTAACAACAATGTTTAATGTTAAACTTATATTTAGGGGCTTATGAGACTTCACTATTTACAAGGTTTTTTCACAAACCACAGTATTTTGT